CTGCGCTCGCCCTCACGGATGGGAGTGCGCGGGGGTAGCCCGCAAGTCCCCTACAAATCGTCTTCACCTGGAGGGATCGTATGTGAGCACAGCGCGGCGTGTGCGAGGCGGGTATGTATGTATACAGGCAGGACAGTACCTATATAGTAAGCACACAGCCAGGGTATATGCTCACCCGTGTGTAAGATTCACGCGTGTGCGTGTGTGTAGCTGCGTGCAGGACAACTCGTTTCAACGAGGTCCTGTTGCTTATCAGTTAATAAAATGTCTTATTATATCAATTCAATTCATAATCTATACGCTTCTAATCTACCATCTTTATGGGGTCCGGTTAAAAGGAAAGGGAATTCGCTGTCCCTCCCCGTTTAGATAATTACCCTTAAATGACTGCAAGAGCCTCTTGTGTTTCGAGGAGATTAGAGCCCTGCAGCTATCAATAAACTTTTCTCAGCGAGCGGCCAATCACGTTATTAGAGAGCGGCTCCGTTTTACTGCACATCCGTCCTGGGCACAGGGATAAGGGACCGTAAAACGCATTTACAAAACAAAATAGCCGGGACTTTAATGGGTCTGGGGCTTAGATGTTCCTTTTTACGTGGAGGAACATTTCATTAGCTGGAGACACGCACACATCGATGCCATGAAACATAGCACAGTTTATATGTGTATGTATGTACTCGCAGATGTCCGCAGACACGTCGAACGCACGGCAGGGCCGGCGCTCATTTAGCAAAACAAAAGCAAACCAAACCAATAAAACCCCTAAACTCACTATTTTTTTTCAAGGCGCAGCCAGGCTGGGGGACAGGCGGGGGCTCCCTCTGCGAGGCCACACTCGGGACAACCCGATATTTGCGGGTTTTCCAGAAGAACCCGGCTCGGGCCCTCTCCCTCGCCCTTCGCAAACAGAAACGCAGGCTTTTTTACCGACGTTAACACAGCTTTTTTTTTTTCCCCCGATTTTGGAGCCATCGCCCACCCCCCATCCCGTCCCGTCCCCACGGCGGAAACAGCCCCGGTCTATCCTCGCC